CCCCAGGGCTGGGGTCTTTGTGGTCCGCTCAGGTGGACGGGGGGCAGGTTAGACACGGGGAACCACCTCGAAGGGTGGAAGGATGGAGACCTTTGGGGGTTGGTGGTCCTCTTTCCCCCGATGGACCCCTTCTTTGCCGGCCGAGGCCCCGAGCTGGCCGCGCACCCCCTCCTCCTCCTCCTCCTCCTCTTTTCAGGAGGGTTTTTGCCTCCCGCCTGTGCGCGTTGCCGTGCGTGCGTGCGTGCGTGTGAGCGCAGGCAGAAGCCTCGGGACCCACGGCCGTGTCCTTCTTGCCTGGTCTTTTACAGAAGGCTTGCGGGAGTATTTCAGCCAGTTTGGCGAAGTGAAGGAGTGCCTGGTGATGAGGGATCCGCTGACCAAGCGATCCAGGTGAGGCGTGCCCCCCCCGTCCGCCCCTCCCCCCTCTCCTAACTGACCGACCTGCTGCCAGTCTTGAGTTCTAAACGACTTCCTCCCCCCCCTTCCCTTTTCTGCACCCCCCACCCCTGCACAGAGGATTCGGTTTCGTCACCTTCATGGACCAAGCGGGGGTGGACAAGGTTCTGGCCCAATCCAGACATGAGCTGGACTCCAAGACGGTGAGTGGAGAGCAGTCCTCCTGGGAGGTCTTCCCCAGGCTCTGGTGCATCGTTTGTGTGTGTGTGAGTTTTGATGCCTTGGCCAGTTTCAGTCTTAGAATTTACAGCTTTTGATTTGGAAGGAGCTGCTTTTCGGGGAGCCCCGTATCCCCTTTCCCCAGTCCCTTTGGTGCTTCGCTCCTTGGCGATGGGTCCGCTCCAGCTGTTTTCAGCCTGCGTCTTTCCTCTGCCTGTCCAGAGTTAGCAAAGGCAGGGTGCATTTCTTCCGGGCAAAGGTTTGGTTGTGCTTAGGAGTCTTGATCTGAAGCCGACTTGATGGGGCCGAGGATGTGTGGATGTGAGGACAATGACTGCCGGTGCGTAAATGCGGAAAAACCAGGATACTGAAGGAGACCTTTCTGCTCAATTTGTCACAAATATTTACGGCTACTATGAACTTCCTTGCAAGATACTTGACTTTTCCCTCGGAAAGGTTTGGCATCTTCTCTACAGCTTGTTAACCCTGCCACCGTTTCCAACCAAGGTTCAGCTTGTGGGGGGTGAAATCTGAATGTGCTCTTCTTGATTTGAACTGTTGCCCTGTCAACCCTTCCTTTTTTAATTTCTTTGCTGGAGTTCTTTGCGATGCATGTTTCAGTGGAGTTGTCTCCTGACACACCTTACCGCTTTTTGCTGTGCAGTTTAAGAGGTGAGCTGCGGCTCTGGATCAGAGAAGTCACTCTGCACATGCTCAGAGGGACGTTCTGTGCCTTTGGTGTTATGCAAGGTTTCTCTGAAGGCTTCAGTCAGGCGATTATGGCAATCATGAAACCCCACGCATCTTTTTTATCTCAAGGTGTTGGTTTTTTGGCCGCCCCGTGGCTGACGTTCTGTGCCTTTGGTGTTATGCAAGGGCTCTCTGAAGGCATCAGTCAGGAAATTATGGCGATCATGAAATCTCATCCGTTTTATCTCAAGGTGTTGGGTTTTTTTGGCTGCCCCGTGGCCAGTTTTGTGGGCTCCCCAGAACACCTGTAAATTGCCTTCTGGGCTCTACAACTGGATTTCGGGGGTGGCTCTCGTGTCTTTGAACGCTTTCTTGAACTTCCTTTGCTTCTCCCAACTTGACCAGCACGGCTGGCAGAGATTGTGTGAGTAAGCTGGGGAAGAAGCATTAAGAGTTTAGGTCTTGAAGACCTGCTACCTTGACCTCCATAAGAGGTTCTCCTGACATCAGCCACCCTCACACGGATCCCCCCAGCCCCAGTTCAGGCCTCCTAGCATGTTGAGGAAGCCTCAGGCTTAGGAAGGGAGGAATGCCCCTGCTCCACAGACATAGGAGGAACAGAGTGGGAAGGGAAGGGAAGGCGGTTGACGGAGATGATTCAAAGTGGCCACAGTTGGCCCATTCATGTTCTTCTGGAGACCATTCTTGATTGTTTGGTTTGGGGCAAATGAAGTCGGTCTACCCGGTGGCCAGCCTGTATCGCTTCAGAGACGGAGATTAGGAAAATTGTGTAAGAACTGGCCATCAAGTTCCTCTTCCCCAAATTTGATTTGAGATTCTTCCTTTGGGTTTTCCAGTCGTGGGCACAAAAATGAACAAATCCTCTGCCCATAACTGGATTTCTCTCTTATATCTGGAAGCCTTCGTTTCCACAACAAGGTGACCTTGATAGATACCTGCTCAAAATAAAACAAGGGTGGTTGATGTCTTATTAGATCAGCTGTTTTCAAATTATGTCCACGATCTGTGTGGCTTTTTTCCCCCTTTTCCTTTTGTAATTCAATCTAAGGATCAATGTCTTTGTAGAAACTGGAATCGGTGTGTGTGGTCTTTGATGCTTGCCTTAATTCCCGGCACCTCTTGTTTAGCCTTGCAATTCAGGTGGTTTTTCTGGGGCCCCTAAATTCATGGTTAGTCCTAGCTAGAGCAGACCTATGGAAATGTATATCTGCCAGCCCCCTTGATTTCAGTGGGTCTGTGTAAGCTGGGTTCCATCAGGACACTGGGCGCCTGTGATATCGCAAAATCACATTTAGCTTGAGTGTACTGAGTGGGGGGGGAGATTTATTTTATGATTTATTCAGTCTTTATTTTAGTCTTTAGTGGTCAACCTCCTGGATTTGAAAAACAACATCTTAGATGTGTAGATGTAACAGTTACGTTTTGGAAAAATTGCTTAACTGCCCCCCTCCCCCAGTGGATGAATGTCAAGGAGGGAGACCACCAAAACTTTTTGCTTTGCAAAAGTTTTGCTGTGCAAGAATCATTTTTAAAAATAATAGTTAGCAATTTGCCTTCCCCCCCCCATGGGGTGTGTACACGATTTGCCTTAGCGTCTGCCTTCTTGTGTATCATTTAAGCCCATTTCTAGTAAAACTCAGGATCCAAAGGGAATAAGAAAAAGAAACTGTTGCCCTTGAGTTTTCTGTTGGCAGTTTCAAAAGAAAAGAAAAGTAAGGAGAAAGAAAGAGAGAGAGAGACAGAAAAAAGGTTAACTGTTGGATCTTTTCCTTTCACATGCCATGTGATGGGCCGGCACAGATTAACATGGCTACCTCTTCTAAAACTTCCTTTAATGTATGAACCCTCTTCCTCTCCTGGTTGAAAGTCTACCTTAACCTATTCTGGTCCTCCCAAAGGCAACTGCCTTGGATTTCCTCGGGTGTAAGCAAAAGGAAAACTTCCTCCTGTCCCCTTTTCAGTTTTTGTGCTGGATGGAGGCAGTTGCTTCAAGCGCCTAACGAAAGGAATGTGAGCGAATTTCATGTGGAACAGGATTTAGGTTCTTGATTTAGATCCGGAGGCTGCTTGCACGTTGAGCGTGAGGTCCCATTGAGATAGAGGAGTCCTACTTCCGAGTAAGCATGCCGAGCGTGAGGGTCTCGCTTCGTTTGCCAGTGGTTTCTTTTTTTCAAGGGTTAGGGGCCTCCTCCTCTCCCCAGACATTGCTACGGTCCTTAGTCAACTAAGCCTATCATGGATCTCTACTGGAGAAGGTCTTCCCCTTTTCTGAAAGGAGCCGATGATGGAGGCCCAACCCAACTGGCCTAATCCTTGGGAACCTTTCGGGGACACCAGTGAGATGAAGGTTGTGGTCGCCTGATCCCCTTTCTTCTCTGTCTCCTCCTTTCCCCTCCCTCCCTCCCTCTCTTGTCTTTTACAATTGTGCCTTGGGCCTCCCCTGCGAGGCGGAGCGGGTGGGGGAGGGGTTAAGTGAACCCAGGGAGAACAGAAGGGGTCTCATGCCGGCACGAACACACACACACACACACACAGACACACACAGAGCCCCTGCCCATTGAAATCCCCCCTCCCTATGCATCTGGCTGGCTCTCGGGAGGGAGGGAAGGGGGAAGAGGAAGCCGGGAAGTGTAGGGGGCAACTTGGCCACAGACGAGACCTCTTTCTCTTTGTTTGGGGCTGAAACGAAAG